CACACACACACACACACACACACACACACACACACACACACACACACTGCTGGTTGACTCCAGGAAGAGAGTCCAGAATCTAACTCAACAGTGACGATTTTAAGCTTCTATTTTTCAACAAATAATAAAAACAACAAACCTTGATAATTAGTGAGCTTTCGGGGCGCTATACCTTTTCCCTTTTCCTGTCTTTGTCATGGAATATATATATATAAGAAGTGGACTTGGTCACCATGACGTCACCCATTGGTTGGTAAACGGCCATTTTGAAGCCTTGAGTTTAGTACTTTGGCCGTCACCATCTTTTTTTTAGCGACCAGAAGTGACAACCAAAGTACAACCAAAAGCGGAATGAGACATTTTTGGGTGCCAAAATGTTACCATTAACTTTGGTGAACTGATACAACACTGTGAAAAGGTTAAAGTTCTAAGACAAAAAAAAAGTCTCATTTTCAAAACCAAAATTCATTCAAAACCATTTTGAAAGCCCTCTGTGGTGCTTTTAAGAGCTTGCGAGAGCCTCCGACATCCGAGGTTTGATTGCTCAACAAGCATTGCATTCATAAGCTACATGTGGATGTTTTATTACTGAATTAAAAACACTTTTGTGAGTGTTTACTTTTTAGCTCTTTAGCACACATTTGACCTCTGTTATTATCTGCAGAAGCACTTCAACAGCAGAACAGTCTTTGGCATGATGACAGACCTCACGCCGTCTGCTGTGCGCCGGTTACTTCACTCGTGTGTGGTGTGTTCATCGCGAAAAACACACCAGAGTTTGTTTTTGTGCAACTGAAATGAGCCCGTCTCACCTCCAAAAAACCCCCACACTTGTCTGTCTCGGCAACAGTCTCCTGTAGGTATTGACATGTCGACACACACCCTGGCTCATCCTCCCCCATCGAGGCCCCTCACTGTAAACGGGCTGATATTTCGTTCAATGGCGGTGGCCCATTCTTCGCGTCCGATGACACTGGTGACATGTAAAGCTCTCGGGCATTGTCCGGCTCTCTGGAGCTCTTTAGCAGTGTAGTCACCAGTGAAATGGCAAAGGGCCACCAGGATGAAAACACAAGTCAGCAGCTGGTCAGCAAATCACAGTTGAAAGCGGTTAAATGGTGGATTTGCCCCGTAAGCAGGACGGGCTCGGGGGGCCCTTTGTGGGCCCCGGTCTGTGAGTTCACAGAGACGCTTTTTCATAACCGTTCCTACTGGTTAGATCCGCGCCTCTGAAATACATTCAGTATGTCGTACTTTTACATAGTGTGCCTAAATGTCATCACCAGAGTAGAGGAGCTGGATTTCACTTGACAAAAAGTTTCAAATTTGTAATTGATCTGAGACACAGACACGACCCCACACCGTTTCAGGGTGTATCTGAAACCTCCGATAGAATATCTGGAATAAATATTTTGAAAACAATGTAAGATTTTGTTAAAACAATGAATGGAACATGCATCTATCAATTAAATTAAATTAAATTAACATTTAATGTGGCTTTATTGGCACGAAAGTAAAAAAAACAACAATGAGTTAACAATAATATTAATATTAACACAACATTACAATTGTTATATAATAATCTGTCTTTCTGTCTGTTTAAAAAGAATAATAATAATAAATCAGACTTTCAGGAATTTTCCAAAGACTGGAAGAAATATCAGTGACAAAAGTATAAAAAATATTTAAATAGGATTTAGTTAAAACAATGAATGGTACATTCAACATATTACGTAATAATTAATGAAAATTGGTTTAAAAAAACTGCATGATGATATAATCACTGGGTACAACATGGAGGCAACAGCTTAAAAAACTTTTAAGAAGCATGTCCTTCCAAAAGGGAAAACACAACCAGAACTAATCGTATCAAAAATGTAATCATATTTCAAAAAGTACCAAATTGAACACATAAATACTTTTGTTGAAAAGATAGAAGATAAAGAACTTCTCTCTTTGTGTCCATGTGTTTAAACTTTCTGTATCTGAGACACTATGATGTAATGGACTCAGGCAATATGTCATGAGGCAACTCTGCACTCCACCTAGTGGCACAGTACACAGAGGTCAGTGCACAATAAAACAGACAAAGTGCAAACAACTATAAAATACATATCAATATACAATTCATACTTTTGGAGGTACTCGAAGCTACTTTCCACTTTCCACAGTGTATGCATCTATTTATTTCCGGCCTTCCTGTTATAAGCAACACAGGCCAGTTGTTGTTCTTGTTAAAGTCATATTCATTTACAGAACTTCCTCAGGGGCTGCGGAGCTCTGAACTAAAATGATGTCTGCTCTTCTTTTGCTTTTGCTGCAACAGTTTTTACAAATGTCCCCCTGGGGATGAATAAAGTACATATCTATCTATCTATCTATCTTTTTGACACGTTTCTCGTGGTTGTGACAGACTCTCACACATACCGTATGCTTACAGTGAGCCCTACTGTTGCAGCAGCGTGCACAGTCTTGCCAAGTATGCTTAACAAAACCCTTTAAGCAACAAGTCCTAAACACACACACACACACACACACACACACACACACACACACACACACACACACGTCATGATGGGTAAAAAAGCCTAATACACAGGCTGCTACTGTATAAGGAAAGGAGGGGTGGGACTAATACAGCTGTTAACCTTTTATAAATGTGCTCTGCATATAATTGACTGTGTATTGACAGAGACGTCCGCAGGAAGGATTAGTAGAGGGTATGACTTAAGTTTTGTTTGATATTTATTTTCATTATTATCCACCCAATATCTTCCTTGTTGTATTTTTTTGGTTCATTTTGTAATGAAATGGACTTTGTCATTAGCAAGTGCCTTCATCATTTCAAGTGTTAACTGGAAAAAAAGATGCTACTTATGTTATAGTTTAAAAAAGTTCATCATCCATAAAGTGTCTGACCCAAACTAACCATAACTCATCTTTATTCAGCTCCTTCAACTCACTTCAAGTCACGAAAAACCAACTCCCAACATTATCTGAGTAAAACCGGTATGAAACACCAGTATATTGGGGGCTATCAGGACGGGGTGTGCCAACCCTGAAACTAGCTGATAGTGCTGCTGGTTAAACTCACTCCCAAGAAAGAAAGCGTCCCTTAGAAATAGCCAGGACGAGTGCAAACCCTAGCCCTGCTTCATGGATGTAAACACACACAAATTAGTTGTGGGGTGAAAAAACAACAACAACAACAGCAAAATCAGGAAGAACTAGAATTCTCAATATCTTATTAATTGTCCCATTAATATTGATTTAAAGATATCTCGATGAAGCCATCAAGTCACACAGCACTGTGCCTCCATCTAGTGGCCACGTGTACAACTGCGTCTCCAACGTGCTTGAGCCTCTCATCACCCCAAGCTCCATTTATAGAAGTGGCAGTTTTATGCTGCCTTTTATATAAACAGAGATGCATTGTAAGTAAGTGGTTTTCCAGAGATACGAGGATACAATTCGTTATGCATGTAATACACTAACAAGCTCTTCGGATTGCACATTCAAACTTTAGTACTTGTTTAGCGCTGCTCCAGAGGAGTTTCGTTGAGTTTTGTCGATAAAAGTTCGATTTTTAATGGAAGTATCAACATGTGCCGAATTGAACAACGTGTCTCACCGAAGCACAACATGCATTCAGTCACTTCATAGCGTACACCGACATGTAATGTCACAGTAAAAACGTATTAAATCGCCACGTTTTTAAACGGAAAGTAGGCGTCGTGTCGTTTCTGTGAGCTGAACTCACACAAGTCACGTGCCAATGTGGGCATTGTTCACATGTTCAGACACGGAGGAGTACGCTTCTCCAGTAGATGGGCGGTGTCACTTTAAGCGCACCTACTCTTTGCGTGGGTATATCTTTGCAGGGATCTCTTTCAGCTCTCCAGTCTTCTGCTCCCGAACAGATGGAAATGGCACTGGAAGGTAAATGCGCGGTGGTGACTGGAGCAGCGGTGGGGATCGGAAGAGCAATAACGGAGATACTCCTGAAAAACGGCGCCAAGGTAAAGCTTGTTTGTGTGGGCACTACCAGCATATAACATGCATGCAGAACAGGAAGTTGTAATAGGCAGGGTATCACAAGTGGTTTCTCATCTTTTCATTTTAATTTATCTTCAATAGTAAAAAAACAAACAAACAAAAAACTGCCTATGAGTCAGTAATATTTCAACTTGCTTTCAATGTAAGTGCATCTTCAAATATAAAGTTTTTCATCAACTAGTTCTGCAATATGCTTTATTCTTTATTGAAATTGTACAGGTAGCCCTCCTGGATGTGAACGAAGCTGCAGGAAAGAGTTTAGTAGAAGTCCTCGGCAAACAACATGGACAAGAGAGAACTTTGTTCCTAAACTGTGATGTGGAATCAGAGGAGCAGATAAAAGGTAACGCAAATACACACGCTCATGCACACACACACACACACACATGCTGAAGAGAGGAAAACAGCTGGAACGTCTCTTATCTAAATAAACAAGCCTAGGAATGCATGAAGCTGAGTTGCAGAGTTGTGTGATGTTTCGAGATGTCAGAGGGCATTTAATGTCGAGAACCACATTACATTAATTATCGTTAAAGGTGTGAGGCAAATTTATTTCCTGAGACTTTAAATTGTCAACAATAGGGAGACCAAAAAACAAACACCCAGAGGCCTTGATGTGTTTAAATTCAGGGTTTGTTTAAACAGCTCAAAGGTGCACTCTTTTGATATGACTATTTACTTATGAACGTTTTGCGGAACTCACACAAGGTTGCAACCTGTTTCAAACTATACAGAGGTTATGAGTTAATATATTGTACATGTATGTGCTGGATTCTATATTTCATGTTATACGGGTTTTTTTGTTACATACACTTTTAGTGTACACGACAAAAACACTTGACCGTGAGTGATTAAAATGCAAAAGATATGAGACTATTAGTCTCAAATAACCTGAATTGAACAGAGCTGGTCGATCGATTAGCTGACTAATCATTGCAGCTCTGCTGTGAAGGATGCCACACTAAAGTAGGCCATGAAAAAAACGGAGGGGTAAAAAGCTCAACCTGACAATGAGATTGAAAAGAGAACTAATAACTGTTTCTCTTTCTGCTCTCAAGCTGCCTTTCAGAAAACCGTAGACACCTTCGGAGGACTAGACATCCTGTGCAACAACGCCGGCATCTTGAATGAGAAGTTGTGGGAGAAAACTGTCTCCATAAACCTGGTGAGAAGTCGAGAGAGTAACAAACTGCAACTGGTTTGCGATTCTGCCCAGTGGCACCACTACCCCAAAGGCAGTGACACCTCACCACAAAATAATTAAAAATAGTCTTTCATGAATTACTGTTTGCACATCCGCCAAACCGATTTACATTTCCTCTTTTTTAGCAGTTAACAGTTAAATGTAGCAACTTTTTACATTTGGCATTTGAAACACAAAGGAAATACCAAAGTACCCATGAGCAGAAAAAACTGGATTCAGGCCTTATAAGGCCATAATCAACAGTAAGTGTTCTGTGTCGTAGATGGGGGTCATCAGGGGGACTTACCTGGCGCTGGAGCACATGAGCAAGTTGAGTGGAGGACGCGGAGGGGTCATCGTCAACACAGCATCCCTGGCAGGTACGACCCACAATGCACTGCATGTGTGTTGTTTTTTTTACAAGAAAAGAAAACAGCATTCTTTGCGTTCCTGAAGTAGATAAAATAGTAGCGCCATTTCTTAACAAGGCATCTATGATTGCTTTGATTACAATGTTGTACAGGCAGTTCTAGTTATGACACGCATTACATTCACAACAATTTACATCCAGTCTGTGCCATGTGTCCGTCTCTATCATTAACTGGATTTAGCAGGTACCTGCAAAGAAAAGTCAGATTAAAAAATAAATCTGCACCCAACAGAAAAATATTCTTCTTTACTTGTTCATGGGGCCAAAATAATATCATATGGTTTGCAAAGAATTCCTCATTTGACGAGCACAAAATAAAATGGCGATTGTTGTCAGTTCGGAGGGACTGTTAACCTCCAGCCCGCTGTACGGCCCCTTTTCTTTAACCAGTGTAGCATTAAAGCATGGTGGAATTAGCAAGCTTGCTAACTAGCCACCTTCCAGCTGTTTAGCCAGCTAGCTTGTTAATTCCACCATGCTTTAATGCTACACTGGTCACAGAAAATAAGTTGATCAAAGTTCCGGCGGCTACAGCTGACGACGCCCCCTCTTCTGACGGCGTCGTTTGCGAAAATGTAGCGCCCACCTTCCGGTTCCCCCTTTAGGTATTCACTGTTAGCTGTCAGCACTTTTTGCCATTGTTTGCACTGTTAGCACGACAAGACAAGGTAGAATTGTGTGCATCCTTTATGAGTCAGGATTTAACCCTAATGCTGGCTGATATAACCCGCATCCTGCAGGTCTCGGCCCTCTACCAAGCTGTCCTGTGTATACGGCCACTAAGCACGGAGTGGTCGGCTTCACTCGGGCCATGGCGGTAAGGACGGTTCTCCAGAAGATAGTCCAGGAAGATTAAGAAAACATCTGCTTAAAAGAAGTTTAATGCATTGTTTTTTCAAGTGCATGTACAGACAAATTCTACTTTATACGCTATATAGCTTTTAGGTCCTAGCTTTGGGATCACAAGCTAGCTAACTTATGTCAATATCCACCAGCTGGTTTGACATAGTCAGACTTGGGGTTTGGCTGTTTAATAGGCATATAATCAAATTGCTATGATTAAAGAGTGAAGTGTTCTCCTTTTAGTGCTTGTTTTATGCATTGTGTCTCTGAACATTTCAAGCATAATAGTGTGTGTGTCTTTTTACTAGGCCGCCTCCACCGCATCAGGTTACGGTATACGGTTCAACGTCCTTTGCCCAGGTTTCGTCCAAACGGACCTCTACACCTCTATTAAAACCAACCTGGGGCAATTCTCCCACTTGGCTGATGCAACCCACCAATTGGTTGAGCGATTTGGGGCTGTAAAGTAAGTCTTTGCTTGTGTCGTTTTGTTAAAGGTGATACAAAGAAACCTACATTATTCACTCCATTAAATCTTTCTAACTGTTTGTTCTGCAGCAACATAGACTTTCAGTACAAAAACTAAAAACCGTCATAATATTTAGACCTCTCTTGTGTTATACATTATGCATTATCTATTAATCTGTCAATTATTTAGTTATTACGAATTATTATTATTATTATTATTATTATACTATAAAGAAAAAGTCAATCACTATGTTTCCCAAAGCCAGAGATGACGTCTTCAAATGTCTTGTGTCTAAACAACTCAAAGATATTCAGTCTACTGCCATAGAGGAGTAAAGAAACCAGAACATATTCACATTTAAGAAGCTGGAAGAATTTTGACCTTTTTTTTTGTCTTGAATAGTTACTCAAACCGATTCAATTGAACACCAAAATAGTTTGCAATTAATTTTACAGGTGACAACTGATTCATCTTTGCAACTCTGTATCATAAAATATGAAATATCCCGATATGGTTCCGTTGAAAGACGATAAATTATCATATTGAAATATCGCCCAGCGCTGTGTACACGTTTAAGTACATTTACAGTACCATGTCTGATACTGTGAACACTATTCGCTCTACCCTTTTTTAATTTCAGCATATCTGATGTGGCGGAGTCCGTTCTGGAGATGGTGACCGATGAGACAAAGAATGGAGAGGCCTGCTTTGTTTCCCCTAAAGAAAAGAAATACGTGAATTTTCCTTCATTCATCAAGTAACTTTACTAGATCATGTGATCAAAGCAGCAATGTTTCTCAGTGCTTTAATGTGCCAATTTTAATGTTAAATCTTAATGCCTCAAGTGCTTTTCATACAGCAGAAATATCTGAGTGAGTAGTCAATACAATGTACACGAAAGGTCCAAGCTGTAGGCTTCTAGCATCGTCTACAGGTTTTTGTTTTCATTTTGTTAGTATGATTAATGTTGAATTATGATGACAACTGCAATAATGTGTCCTTCAACATGTCAATATTTAGCAGACCACTAGTTCAACACCTATCTGAGGTGGAACATTTTAAAAATGTCTGTGACCAGAATTAAAATCCAGATTGTATTTTTACGTAACGTCACTATTAACTGAAAAAATTGTCCATCATAAAAGGGTCCCCCAAAACATCTGTATTTGTTCTTTGGGCAATTCCTGCTCATTCTGCGCGTAATATCATGCAATTCTAGTTTGTAATAAATACCTTCATTCATGGCTTGAAACGTTTCTTCCCACAGTGTGTAACAAATCAGGTAACGGGGGGGGGGGGAAAGCATACTATATTATATTTATGTTCTCCTGGATGAGACGCAAACCTTAAGGTCAAGCTGTTACTTTGTTTATTAATGAACTTTATCGTAAGAAAAGCCTTCCTTACAGCCATGGCCCGGGTGAAGCCGACCACTCCGTGCTTAGTGGCCGTATAGACCGGACAGCTTAGTAGAGGAACGAGGCCTGCAGGATGTTTTATCAGTCAACATCATTATTTTATTGTTTTCATGCTGTAATTTCCCTTTAAAGACAACAATTACGCCATCTGACAAAGTTGTTAAAATTTTCCATCCGTGGGCTCTGACAGTGACACGAAATCTTTCACAACATTTGCGAATGAAAAGCTGGTGGATTTGTAATAATTTCAAGTACAGGATCTTGATGAGAAACTGTCTTTTCAATTATTTTTGTAAAATATTAACTATATTATAAATCCATGCACATCATACCAGAGATGGAACAGCGTGTTAGCTGTCAATTAGTAACTTCTATGTTTATTTGTCTTTGTATAATTATAAACAAGAGAGTGTGTAAAAGAAATGCAGAAAACCTGAAATACTAAGTGCTTAGTGCTTGAGGAGATACAAAAATGTACATTTATATTCATTTGTGTTCTCAAAAAAACGTTATCAAATGAACTTTGTTTTTTAAATAACTCGGAACTGAAGGGTTCAAAGTGCAAACTAGGCTTCCGGTCACATGACCGGAACTAAACAAATACGTACATCCGTGGTTTCGGCCACGCTTTGCCTTCCTCAACCACCAACAACAAGTCTCTCGCTGTGCAGTAAAAACAGAACAAAACCTCCAACATGCCGAAAGCCAAGAAGTCAGGGAAGAGAAAGAAGTTCGACTACACCCAAGACCGGAAGAAGTTGAAGAAACAGACCTTCAAGAAATACAACCCGCGGATAGAAAAGTAAGCGTGGAACGGCACGTTAGCATGTTAGCTCATGTTGGCTAACGGGGGGGCATGTTAACGCCACGTGAGAAGTGTTTACCTGACCCGATATTTGTAGTATTTATATTACACAGTAGTGTAAGTAGTATTCACATCCTTTAGCTACTTAAGTTAAAGTAGAATACTATGGTTTAAAATATACTCCTTAAAGTCTTGAGTACATAAGTAATGAAAGTATTCATTATGCAGAATGGCTCCTTTCACTGTGCTTGTTATAAATTATACGGTTTTTTTAGACACTTGTATGTACTTTTAATAATTAAATATGGATATTTTCTCAGTTAATCGATTAATCCCCTCGGCTTATAAAACAGTGAAATATGGCCCATCACACCTAAACCCAGAGATATGCAGACGAGACCGAATCTTGAAATTTGGAAACATTTGAGATATAGTTTTATTCATTATAATTATATTTAATTTAATCATGAATATTTTCTGTAATTGATTATATAATTAATTTAAGCAAATCACATTGAAGCCCAGAATGTGGCTCAACTACTTGGTCTGCCCTCACATTAATGATTAATGAAGGGGTTTATTAATATTATTTATGTCTTATTTTGGCAGGTCTTTGTCTTTTCATTGCTACCAATAATTGATTTACAGTTTCAGATTAAGAGATTTTAGGGGGACTGGGTATTTGATAACGAATATATAGAATATTATATTGTTCACCCAACTTAAAATGCCTATATTATCAATAGTCTGAATATACCAAGAACTGTAAATTGTATGCAAACAAACACAGTTTTCACTGGAAAGATAGTCGATGCTTCTCATTGTGCTGAACCTTTAGTTTGCTCCGATTATGAGATAAATGTATATAATACATTTGTTTCGGCCGGCTCCTGCAGGAGCACTGTTGTGTTGTTTTTAGTTTCATCGTGCGTCTAAACTTTCCTCTCACTCAGTACACAGATCAGAAATGCGTGGGACGACAATAAGTCCACGAACAGGAACCTGCAGGAGATGGGTCTGGCTTTTGATCCAAACCGCACGCTGCCAATAGCGAAAAAGAGCGTAAGTAACGTGATTCCTCTAAACGGGACAAAGACTTCAGAATGGGGCTGTGCAACATCACCCGAAAGCAGTTTCTCTATTGATGACTGATGCTTAAAACGATCGCCCTCGCTCCATAATCCCATAACGTCTACATGTTGGCCTCCCGTGGGCTCTGGACGAGGACAGTAACTGTGTTGTTTTTCTGTGGAGAAGAATGTTTGTCTTCTTCAGTTCACCCAGAATCCAAACGCATGTCTTTTGTTCACACGTTTAGCTCCTCGGTGAAGATAAAGTGACTAAAGCTCCGGTCGGCATCGTGACGAAGCCCTACGTAGTCAACCGTAAGTCGTTTCCTTTTTAATAACCTCACCATGTGAAGTAACGTGAACCTTCATTTTGTTGTGCTTTAGAGATTCATCTTTTGATAGAACTCTTGTTAGTGGCCTTTTTATACAGATTCCAAAAAGACGCTCGCTATGATTTCACCCTAATTAGACCAATTTGAAAGCAAGCAGAGCTTCACTTCCACCATCTTTGTTTTTGTCGTTCTGCTCGGTGGCATTGAGGCTCCGAGGAGTCGACCTTCAGCAGCAGCTGCTCTGGATTTCAGCTCAGAATGACTTTCATTCCTCCCGTAACGCCGCCGGGGCTTTTATTTCCATTTCTTTTCATGAAGACTGACAGAGATGATTTGCATATTTTCATTGAGTTTTAGAATATATTTTTATGCTCCTTGTCATCGCACCGAAATGAAAAAGATGAATCCTTAAATGCAAACAAACAAGATAGAAGAAATATGAATGTTTCTGAGATGTCTTTTATGTTTGTGTGGCTCAGAGCTGCAGGAGGAGGCCGACCGCCCAGAGAAAGACTCAAAGACGCTGTCCTCCGACCTGATGGAGTACGCTCAGTACATGATGCGAGAGCACGGGGACGACTTCAAGGTGAGGGCGCCAACCGAGGCCTGAACGCGTCCCTCATGATGGTTCTGCACAATTTAGCGCAGTGTTTCTGTTATCACGTCAAACTATTATAAACAGTGGGACTCCCACACTCCTTTGTTACCGCTTGCATACACGTTTTAAGAGACATTTATTGTTAGTCCCTGGTCATCCGCCTCAGGCTTCTCTCCAAAAACTAAAATAGAATAGAAAATTAATTAGACAACTAAACGAAGTGTACCGGAGCACAAGTCAGAGAGCTGGCTGTCCAGGTCTTAGACGCCGTTGGACAGATTCTTCCCTCGCAGCTCGTTCCACTTTATTTTACACAGAAAGGCGATGACGGAGAGCTGCCGATAACGGGTCTCTTTGATTTATAGCGTCTCTCCTGTTTGACAGCTCGGGGGGAAGTTATGCTCCAGTTGTGAAAAATGAATGGAAAACGACAATCAAATAGCAACTAGGGACAATTTAATCGTAAACTAAAATCTATGACAGACCGAGTCGTGACCATGATAAAGCCAGCAGCAGTTAGCGTAGCGTAGCACAGAGGCTGGAAACGGCTAGCCTGACTCTGTGTGTAACAAACTTTCCCTACCAGCTCGTCTAAAGCTTGTCAATCAACACGGTGTAATTCATTTGTGTTAAAACCGGGAGGTTTCTGTGCCGGGCTCTTCCTGGAGTTCTGTTTTATCTTTCGTCAGAGCACAGCTAGCTGATGAAAGATCTTCTAATTTTACTCCCCGCAAGAAAAGATGTTTACCAAATTGTTGAATTATTCCTAAAAGAAACGGCACAATATATGAGTGAGGGATTGACTCAGCTGAAGAAATAAATGAACCTCACATGTCATTATCAAGACAACGTTAGCTTGAACCATAGACTGTATTTAGGAGAAAGTGGGCCTTGAGTTTGGCGTTTTGGCCATCACCGTCTCGGCTTTACGCGACCAGAAATGACAAATAAATGTTACAATTAACTTCCATGAACTGAAAACACAGGTTAAAGGGTTATTGAAGAAGATTTGAAACAATGAACTAATGATTAAAATGTTTATTTAGGTAATAAAATAATATAAATAGGGTCATTTTCTCATATTTTACCCAAGGCGTTGAGATTCAGTATTCACTGGCTGAACTTGGGCTGCACGATGGTGCGTTTAAGGACACTCTGAGAAATGAGGACTGGCTGCCGAGGTCCAGGACATTTTCTCCTGGAGGTGCTCAGTCGCTGCAGAGGAGACGATCAGAGTCTGGTTTCAAGGTTTCAGCTGCGTGATATCCTTCCACAGCTGCTGACTTTAGTTTTCCTCATACTTCAGATTGAAGGGACACGCTCAGTGTTTTTAGTTTTTTTTGATGACTCAGAGTGGCAGAAGTTAAAATTGATTTTTTTTTTATCAGAAAAGTGCCTCGCTCAGACCGATTTTTAACAGCTGCTTTAAATTGGACGGAGTCCTCACTGCCAAGTCTCAATCAGTGTGTGTGTGTGTGTGTGTGCGTGTGCGTGCAATAAAATACCCTTTAATAGAAAATATTCCACCCATGACTTAAAATCATGAAAATGTCGGTCCTCACTGGGGCGCCAGAGTTGTTATAGATTTTCAATCTTGTTATAATAATATAATTTTAGTAATAACTGTAGTGTATGCCACTTCAACATTTTACCATTTTATATTTGCAACAAGGAAGTAACCTAAAACACGGGACTATTTTCTGCGGTTTGAACTGAAGCTCTTTATTCTCCCTGCAGGCGATGGCCCGGGACGAGAAGAACTACTACCAGGACACACCCAAACAGATCAAGAGGAAGGTCATCGAGTACCAGCGGTGCCACAAGGAGCACTACGACGCCTTCGTCCAGGCGCTGGCCACTCCACCGCCGCCGGTCCAGTAAAGAGACTTTATATACGTCGTCGTGTGTATCCGGATCTCACTCTGGAGACACAAACAGGACAGAAGTCCAGTGTGAGGACCGCAAGACTTCAGGACCTTTCTGTTACTGTCCTCGCTGTAAAGATTTCCTGTTTTAATTATTCCCCATATTGTTTCCAGGTGTGTGTTTGTGTGACAGTCATTTAAATACCTTGAAGCTCATTTTGCAGATGTTTTTGTTATGCATCAGTGCATTCACACCGGAGGACTCTCAGACGTTTGTCATCTTCTCCGTGTTTCCTTGATCTCCAGTTAAAGCACGAGCGCGTTGATGTCTGAAAGGAGTCTCTCTGCAGCGTCATGTTTTTCAACTGCACTGGAGATGCGTGCAGTTCTGAGCTTCAGAGTTAACCGCGTTATGAATTCATAACGCGGTTAGCCGATTGGTAACGGTCTGGTTCGTCTGGACTTTATTGCATATTTCTTTGTGGAGGAATTTTAATCGTGTGAAACAGTTTTAACGACGACGCTGGTAGAGAACATTGAACCGCTCAGACTCATGACGAACACTAAAGAGAGCCTGGAGTCATCACCGGGATGGCTTCTGAAATAAACAAATGTTTGCGTGAGAGTCTGAAGAGAAGAAGGGCGTGGCGGTTTACGGGACCGGGCTCGTTTTATTTAATATTTGTTTCATTGTCAACAACCAAACCCAACAATGTGTTATTCTGTCTCTCTCAGCTCCGAGCTCTTTGGTTCCACATGAAGATCTCTTAAAAACATCTCAAGAATATATAGTTTTAAAAAGCTCATTAACGTCCCAAAACAGCCGGTCCCCTGTAGTTTTATCAAACATGAGGAAAAATATATATAATATATTTTCAGCAGTGGATTAATCCTCATTTTGGTTGAGTTATTGCATTTTGGTGCTTGCGCGCAATGAACCATTAAAATGAAGCAATGCATGTTTTGAACCCTCTGCACTGGTTCCATAAATCAGTGAGTAAGTTCAACTGCGTGTGCGCGTGTGTGTACTGTGAGCTTTTTGGTGGAAGTAAAGAAACGGTTACTGTGGTGACCTCTCCATTGCACATATTAACTGCTTTCGTCGTTAAAAAATGTCTGAGATTCTGTAGTCCTGCCACTTCTATATTATGTAATATATTTGTAGAAAGCATGCTGCATTTCTAAAACACTCGAGTTTTAAAAGCCACTTAAACATCTTTGCACCAAAAACTACACGGATAGAATGAAACATCCACAAGCCTTTTTATTTTATTACATATGAATGCATCCATCACACGTTGACTTATCCCACAATCCTCAGGCAATGACGCGCTGTCGACGCTTCATGGAGGATGCAGTCGTTGAAGGGTTTTTTCTTTGTTGATGTAACAACTGTGGCGTCTGTTAAGAGACTCCCGCTCCTTAAAATTAATTTGACATTTTCAGCAAAACACAGATGCATCGTCATCTGGAGAACTGTGGTTGCGTTGATGGCTCGAGGGGAGAAAACAGTGAAGTATGACGGGTAGATGGAAACATGCGTCACTTCTAGAGGAGCATCCGATTTAAATGTCGGCCGTAAAGCCTGGTGGAAGCAGCTCCAGTGACAGAAAAGCACTGCGTTTCTGTAGTTCTCTAAAAACGATAGAGCATGTGTGAAGACTGTCATGTAACATCCTGCTTCATGTGACTCACTGCGCTGTACTTTCAACGCCCTGCTGGAGTTCATTGGCCTGGCTGCAGAGTGTGGACAGAATAACAAAGCAGGATTTAACTGAAGTGACTTCTAAAACATTTAACAGACCGAAACCTTCAAGCTTCTTATAAACTTCTTTCAGCTTGTGTTCGACACCCTCGGCGTCGATGTAAAATATATTGGAAAAAAGACACGTTTTCCTCAAGGATGCGCAATTCTGAAAGAACACTATTTTATAGCGACGAATCCAGATGAAATGACATCTGGTGCTGAAACCTGCGCTTTAAGGCACAGCTGGGAGCAGAACGGAGACTTATGAAATCAGAAAGTACGAGGTCACCGCGTCACAGATGAAAACAAGTACATGTGGGGTGAACAACAGAGTGGAGTGTTTCAGCTGAAGGAACACGTCCCCGGGTAATTGAGGAACACAGTATTGAACATGCACTGTAGTAACCTTGTTACTTTAAATCAGTTTACACATGCAGCGGGTCAGTAATTACATTTCTCCCAGAACCCCTGAAACGTATTTTGGGAGCTTGGCTATCTCATTTTAACTGTAAGACAGAAACAGTTACTCCCTGACTTTCTTTGTGTGTGTGTGTGTGTGTGTGTGTGTGTGTGTGTGTGTGTGTGTACGGTATGTTTTAGTCGGTCTTTGGAACTTATTCAGAGCCAAGAAATTGACTTTCTTCAGGAGAAATCCACCTGTGGAAACCTGCGTTTTCTAATCCCCCTTCCTCAATAGTGGGAAACCACGTGTAAGAAATGAATCTACCCGAGAGAGACGACTGTAACCCCGTTACTGAATATATGTGTCAAATTTCAGCGCTAATCCATCCGATAGTTGAGACATTTCAGTCAGAACCTAAAACAAAAAATCCACCTCACAGTGGCACTAGAGGAGAAGTCATCACGGTTGATCCTCTGGAGACCATGAATGTATAAAGTGTAATCGTTGACTAATGACTTTCACTGTGAAACCAAGAGAGGAATTTCTCCCCCTGGTTGTGTCATGTGGATCGTCACTGTCCGCTGCACAACGTTAACGGCAGAACAATAGTTTGACCTCGTCTGCTGTCGTCGATCATTTACAGCTTCGTTCCAAGAACTCCAAGTTGCTTTGTGACGCGTGTTTGACCATGGAGGAGCTGTGTGAGTTATGATTGCGCAACGGTTCACGCCAGCTGTGGTTGTTTTCTTGAATATGGATTTTTTTTAACTAAAACTCAATTCAAAACAATAGATGTTCCTCAATATCGTTGTGAAAGATGTTGTGTGACTGTAGGCTGGTCATTGTATTTCTCAATAGAAAGACAAAGAAAACAATTCCAAGAAACAGCCGACACTGACGAAGATCTTCCATTGAAATTTGACTCGTAAAATTGCACATTTGCTGTTTCCTCTGGTGCCACCATGAGGACAAACTTTACATATTAACTTTCTCAGCATAGTAATATGCAGTAAACTTTGAAGAATGTTGACAGCAGGCAGCGTATGCTAATAAGTACTGCAGTCTTAACATACAGTAAATATATGACTGGGGTTGGATGGGGGTATACATTAAATAGCACTATAGGTCTCATTAAATTGTGACCATGCGGTGCATTCAGCAGTTCTGATGTACAGATAGATTTATTTATAGGAACCCTCTGCACTGTCTGAGCCAAAGGACTACATTCTTTCATACAAGCTTTTTAATATATTACTGGAGTAAACATTTGTAACATTTCTTATATGTCATTTAACCAGCTGACAGTAGTCTCTAGCAAAGTACACACTTTGTAACTTTATAACACTGTTATTTGGCACTGTTTATTTGGCAAATTAATGGATTATGTCTGTTTAGATGGGGACAGGTTTGTTTCTATCTGCATATGACAAATACAGACTTGGCAGACAACCCCTGGATTTCCTTTTTTCCCTTTTAATTCCCGTTAATTCCCATGGAAAGTTTCCACCTTGAATATGAGTGACGCCTCAGCGAAAAACAGCTTCCTGTTAACATGTTGTGGAACTCTGCCCCACAAAAGTCAGGTCAGGCTGCTTATAGAGGCCTTAGATCTTATCTGTGTTTGTTTGCATCCACATGCAGTCAGCATAGAGAGACTTGTTTTCCCAATTGGGTGCTTGTTATCGGTTTGTCTTCTGGATCCATCCATGTTGTTTGAGAACATATTGTGTGCACATAGGTTGAGTACATAACTATGTTCACTGGCATGTCTTCTCTCCACATATTTCCAGTCGTACCTCCATCTGTGCTTCCATGAAAAATAGATTTTAATCTCAAGGAGACAAGATTATTAAATAAAGATTTTTTTTTTTTGCTACACTACTTCATTACAGACCAACGTGGAATCTCACTCATAACACATTGTTGGACAGTAAAAAATATATAAATGCAGGAGAACCAGAGATTTTTTTTTATTCCATGCATTCTTTTTCCTCATCAAAACCCCACCGCCTACATTACCCACAATGCAACTCGACCGCCGACAGCACGGTCAGAGATTCTGGTGTGTAAATGCTAGTAGCGGCTAAGTAGCAGGCAGAGATGAGCATCGGGCTACGGGGGTCTGGTAAACTCACTTCTGTCTAACTCATCGGCAAAAGACATTTGTCATTTTCAAACTTGCAGTCCCAACTGACGCTGACTCGAGTGACATCACTTGAGGACATTCATCTGACTTCACACAGCTCCCTGTGGAGACACTAAAGACTTCATACTGTTTATTTTACCCATATACTCAGTCGTGTTCCCCAGCACCCTGGAAACACACTTTGATGTGCAAAATCACTTGCTGTTTAAGAAACTGCAGCCGAGACGTTAATAGCATTTAAAAGAGAATAAGAAAACATAAAGACATGCATAAATCCATACCTGACAGTTGCATTTGCATTGTTTATAAAAATGATGTACATACAACAATCCACTGAACTCTTGATCACTGTGAAAACAACATTACTGCAGAACTACAGTACATCAAAAGGAATACAACTTCACATTCATTAAAAACGTGTGCGTCATAAGCAAACATTGCTGCACACACGCACACGCAGCATTAAAAATCAGACTCTAGCTAATTCCAGTTTATGTGTACAGGTAAATTTAAGTCAAATACAGCACTTCACATCTGCATTAATACAATCAAGGACGTGTGTTTCACTGCATACGAGTTCTTGTCTAAAGACAAGTTTCCATTCAGATGTGTCACAAATTTGAAACAAATGTTGAGAAAATTGGTCAAAGAAAAACGCAAATGAAAGCTTGTTTCCATTCATTTCTTTTGGAACGCAAACCGGAAACAAGAACAAGTTCGGCTTGGTCATCTAACTCATCTTCAAGAGAAAAAGGGAGAGACGTCTTCAGGAATTAGTTTCAATCGGGCAAGTTTTAACAGCTCTCTCACGTCAGCTCGTTCTGGCCGTGTTTCATCCTGCCGATGAAGACGCAGGAAAACGTAAACAGCTGATCGGTAGTGTGAGTTAAATGTTCGCTATCGTGTATTTTTAGTTGGGACTGAACACAACCAAAGAGGGATTGCTTTCAAATGGAGAAGCTCAAAATCCTCTCTCGTGAAGAGAGTCATAGAAAAGAGAGGACACTTTCCCTCCCGACAAGAATTTTGACAAGAAAAGTAACACAGGTTTTTCAAAAATGTCAGTGTGTCCCTTTTAAATCCCCTCATGAAATCCCCCTGGATATCAGCAAAGCCCACTTGTAGGAGTCAGCGAGTTCCTTCCAAACACCCGGTTGATTAACTCACCAGTATTAGTCCCCGGGGCTCCAACCTGGCAACCCTGAATATTACCTGTTCTGCTCTGCCGACTTCTCTGGTCACACACAAAAAGGTTTTCAGTAAACAGCAAAACCAGACGAAATCTTGTAAATGGATCTACAAACTTGACATATTTCCGTTTATATACAGAACAATACGCATGCTTAAATACACCGGTCACAGTTCATACTAGTCCAAAGCCTGAATCATTGGCAGGAGGGGAACTTTGTGTCAAACCTTCGTCCTTCTGTCCTCCTCGCTCTGCGACTCCTCCTCCTCCTCCTCCGGTGAGTAAGATGAGTCGGAAGAAAAGCTGTACCATGAGATGAGCTGAAGGTTTTTTCGAAAACAAACTGACGTGGTTTGAAGAAGGTCAAGGATGAAGACGAGGAGGCTTTGCGCTCCATCTTGGCATTTTCTTCAGTGATTTCTTTGCCATGGTTCCCGCAGCCTTCAGCATCCTCCTCCTCCTCCTCCTCCTCCTCCTCCACCTCCATTAAGTCAGAGCTTTAACAATGAGGAGGAAGAGGAGGAAGATTGCATTCAGCCACCACTTTGTTGCCATCCCTCCATATCCTATTTCTCTGCTCTCGGAGAGGGGGGGGTATGGGGGGAATGAGATCAGACGAGCTGGAGCAGGAGGTCCTGGACGGTGTCCAGGCCCCGGCAGGAGTTCTTCAGGTTCTCATCAGAGCCCAGCTGGGCGGCCAAGATGAACAGCTTCCTGTCCTCGGTGACGGAGCCCAGAGACAAGGCTTCGTGCAGCTCCGACACGCTCACAGCGTTGGGCTTATCCTGTGAAGAGCGTGAAAACAAAAAAATGGCTGTCTCTTACAATTTACAGTACTGTACATACACATAATAATAATTTAAATAATTTGTTGTGGTTTGATCTTGTATTGTAATTATTATAATTTCATCAGTTGTCGCTGTATACATTTAAATGTACGGCACATTTAATGTCCTTTATAAATTAATTATAAACAATTATTTATCAGCCGAGAAACATCTCCGGTACGACAGATATGAGTTTAGTAAACGGAAAGTCTCTGTTCACCATGGCGTTATGTGTAATAATGTATAGACCCTACAGACGTTCATAAAAAGGTATAAAAATGACCATAAAATGATCTATTGAAACTATTGCCCTTGTCAGATCAGTGTGTTCCCAATACACCGCTTTCATTTTGAGCTTGTGGGGGTTAGCCGGGCACAACTACGTTAGCTTAGTTAGCTACTTTCTGGTGACAAATGCAAACAGTTAACTGCTCCATAAACAAACAGAAACTGTACATTTAGCCATAATTCGGTAAAAATATAGGTGTCAAGAGCACAACAACTGGGTTATAATTGGAATCATTTGCATCAAGCAGATACCAGTTGTCCTGGAAGAGGCAAGCTGCGACTTTAAGAGCCTTTCAAGCCTACAAGGGGTGAGTGTTAGATACTCCTATGTTACTTGATTTTACCTTTTCATTTTATCCCCCAAAAAAAAAAAATCAGTTGCAGCTGCAGTACAAACTGGACATAACCTGCAAAAGTAATCCACCTTAAAAAGCTGATTTGACTTCCCGAAATAGAATAAAATCACCATTGACTTACATGCTTCTATATATATAGTCTGTATGTGAAGGAGGTGAATTTAACGCCACCCTCCTACACGACCCATTCAACCCCGGCTAGAGTCTCCAGATGTGTCCCCCCCCCCCCCGTTTCTTTGTACCACCGCGTCTTTTTCCAACACACAGATTCTTCTGGAAACATCCTTTGTGCTGTTTTAAACAGAGCGAGTGCCGAGGCAGAGAACAAAGCAGTGTGGTGGGAGAGAGCCAGTATCTGTTTTATTTCACCTGCGTCATGTGCACAGCATACAAAGATGTATGTATCTATGTACTGTATATGTATATATGTATGTGTATATGTATAAATGTAAATACGTATGTATATATGTATATGTACGTATGTGTGTATGTATGTATGTGTATATATATATATATATATATATATAAATAAAAGTCTAGTTTTTTAGTTTGTTTCTTTTGCTGGATGCAGATGTTTTCTATTTTTTTATTTTTGCTTGGGGGAATTCAGCTTCCATCTACAAGTACCAGGCATGAGTGCGGTGTTTAATTACGTATATGCTTTAACCAATCCTGCAAAGGAAAAAAACAAAAACACTTCTCCACGGCTCAGCTGTTTGATCAATTTGTTCCAAATACTGATATTTTTTGCAAAATATACAGCCTCCATTTGTAGCTGCTGCAATGAGATAACAGGCAAAACTATAACAAACAGAAGCGGTGTATGTAGCAATATTTTGGAACAATTTGATGAAAATAATTTTGTTGTTGTTTGTTTGGGTTACATAAAACCTTGTTTAAGTGAAGCAGACGCTACCTATGTTGAAATAGTAATTCAATTGCTGTTGTTATATGTTATGTAGTCCTCTAATAACCATTCATTATTTAACCAAATTATGCCCAGTTTAACCTGGATGCCTACCTGTCTCCAGTGTTTACAGCCTACATGTCTCTCATAGATCTTTTTGGCTAATACTGCGAGTAGCGCTCGCGGCACTGAGGGGATGAAAGCTGCACCGCTCTGACAGTAGATGTGACAAATATTCCTGCTTCCCGCGGAGGGTCATGCATAATTCCACAAGCAGGGTGAAGAAATGTGAGCTGAGGAGGAAATGTAGTAATGTTTATTTCACGAGTCGGATGGATCATCACTGTAAATGAGGAGGGAACAAACTCTTCGTTTGATCACTTTTAATTTAACATTTTGACCTCATGTGACATTATTCTTTTGTAATCCTGTATCATTGTGGGCTCGTTTTTTTCAGGGGGATTGCCTCCCCTCGGCTCTCAACTTGGCAACGGCTGAGCCGACGGCTAGCAGCTAATGGTGCAAACAGTGCAAACAACGGCAACAGTGCTGGCAGAGCTAACAGTGTTAGCCTAAGAGGGAACCAGAAGGTTTGCCTCCACGACAGTGTCACCGGGCCGGCTATCAGCAGTAACCGCCATATGAGCATATTAGTTAGTGATGTCATTTATTTACCTGCTTGTTTCCCAAGACAACCACGGGCAGCTGGGGCTGCCCTCTCAGCAGGCGGTGCAGTTCAGCCTTAGCCAATGGGAGGCGGCTCCTGTCAGAGGAGTCCACCACGTACACCAGAATGTGAGTCTTTCTCAGGTAGTCCGACCAGTACCGCCGCAGGTCCTCCCCGCCACCGACTGCAGCAAAGAAAACGTATATGTCATACATTTAAGAAATAATTGACTTTCTGCTTTGAATTACAACGATTTTCCACTTTTTGACTTTTAAGTTTCGGGCTCTTTTTTTTTTTAAAGTGTTCCAACTCTCAAATGCATTATGAGTTCAGGCACCGGGGAAAATGTCCAGCTTTCATCCTCAAATTCAAATATTCTTCTCAAAGAATAGTTCGTATAACATAACTTCATCTCCAAAATCTGCATTCATTTGAATTGCGTCTGTGGTCTCTAACCCCTTTTTTCTCTCTCTACTTTTTGTAGTTTCCTTCTTGTGCACGAAAGTATTCTTCTTATAATAATTATTCTCTACTTATTTTTTGTATCAGTATTGAGGTGTGATTCCTTGATTTGACTTGTCACAAAGAGCTGAGCAGCATCTTTGTCATCGTGGTTCACACATGGAGGGTGTCATGATCTCGGTTTTGGAGGATATTTATGACGGCTAATGAGTATTTTCAGGTATTGTTGAAAAGTGATTGTTAAAAAAGAAAAAAAGGGTGGGAATCAAAAGCTAATCCCATTTATCATTTTGTACTGTTCTGCTGGATTATACAAAGAATACTGGGAAGAGGCCTGGCTCTGAGATTATTGGAAAGAGGCTCATCTATGGTTGAGTGATAAGAGATTGGTCAATGAATGCAAGAAACATGTGAGCTCCGGTTACATCAGCGCGTAAACAGATAATGTTCTTCACAAGGCTTTTTCATAATTGGATAGAAATTGTTATTTTCAGGCAGGTGGCCAATCAAATTGGGGTCTTTGAAATGCTATAAAGCTTTCTTGGAGAGAGGCCCGAGGTCTCTGCTATTGTAATTACAATAGTTTGTATGATTTTACACCATGTAACTATTTATCCTGCTCTGTGGACTAATGGTTCACTTCACTGACTGATTGATTGTGATTTGATAAAATGGCACACTGAGGTCGAACCCATTCAGTACTGTTTACACCACACACAGTCACATCTTCACACATTTCTTAGAACATTGCGTTAACAGCCTCAGTGCCGGGGAAAGTTTCATAGTAAGTGAAGGCTTTCACCTCCCACCATCCCGCTGTGCAGGAGAACTGACCCGCGGCTATGATGAGCGTCGGTGCCAAACGAATCGCTGCTCGCACACCGGCGGGTTGTCGCCGCCTCCGAGTTCGACGCAGCAGAGCTCAGCAAGAATTCATTAGTGGTGGACTTAATGGAGAATGTTGCTAGGAAACTGGGTAGCGCTCTACCTTTTGCTGATGTGATGTGGCAGCAATGAATACCCGTTTACCTGATACGGTACAGAGGGTGGACCTGAGGCTCAGCGGCGTGTGCAGTGTGTTACATTCAGAGGGAGCTCGGCTGGGATGCTGCTCTACAGGCCACCTTATTAGACACACACCCACACGAACACACACAGCAGGCACTGAGTCAGACGGGTGTGAACGATGCGGATGTGTGTGTACATCGAACTAAGTTGTAGTTGTAGTCCTGAGGGTAAAAACGAACTCCTGCATGCTTTCAATGGAGATTGTGGCTGCACTTTCTGAGCAGCCACACAAGTCGTAGTCTCCAAACAAGTTTGTTTTTCCGCCTAAGATTTGCAGCCAACTATGCTGAATCCCAAGAAGACATGCATCCAACGGAGTTGGACGTGTCGTGTCAAAGTCTGTTTCCCCATTGATTTGTGTCCCCCCCCCCCCCCCGAGTCTCTTTTGTAACCTTGATGAAAATACACATCAGTGTTTTCTTTTACTTTTTGTCTGGCAGCGGTTTGCATCGTCAAATCCTTAAATCCAGTGTATCTATAGACAAAGTCTCTAAGAGAAGAGCGAGGCCCGTTGCAACTGATCTTCTCCTTATACCAAAAAGAAAAAAAAGCTGTAAACACTGAATATTTAATAATCTGGACAGCATTTGTGTATATTGTAGCATTGAATAGTAAGGGTCTGTTTAAAGGCACCCATGCTGTCAGTTTGTGAGCTTGAGTTGAGGGAGTTCCTCAAAGCAAACTAAGCACAAAGTGTACTAACACTCGAGTGTCTACTAAAGAGGGAAGCTGAGAACTAATTTTTTAGTTCCCTTTAGCACGAACCCAAATGTCAGCTGCTGAAAGCCTGAGACTATACTTCCCTAACTGATCTGATGATCTGCGTCTTTTCATTTAGAGTATAAAGGCTCTTCGCTGGATTCCTCCAGCGGGTCCCTGTGCACTGTACTGCTCCTGATGCGTGTAAGCGTGCAATAAGCTGTCAACATGCCTCTGCATCAATGTCGCCTAGACAAAGACTCCCAACATTTACCGCACCGGGCCGCTGAAGTGCTCGGAGTGAGTGGGCGGTGACATGTGTTCCTCTGACTTTCAGAGACGAGAAAGGAATTCTTTTGGCGCCCACCAACCCCTGTGTTCAGATCAATGAATAAATCAGCCGCGAAGCGTGACACATTCCTCCGACTACATCCGCAGAAACTCCCTCTGAGGCCGACTGTAGCCGAGCATCTCACACTGAAGACGGTCTTGAATGAAGAGCGAAGTGATTTATGTTATTTTTAGTGCGGCGCAGTGGCTTTCAAAAGGAATGCTAATTAGCAGGATTCATGAGTTTATACATAAATACAATCCACCTGGACTCATCCGCCTCGCATTTTTGCACCCGTGTGATTTGATCTCCCCATGTTCATTACATGCATACATATACTGTACATATCCACTAATAACATCCATTCATAATTCAGCATATTTGCACCCACTGCAATACAGTGCAGCGAGTGTCAGAGATAGCCTCTGCGTTGGCAGTGATGGATGCAGCGAGCTTCAGGGAGAGGATTGGTGGCAAACAACTTAACTCTGGATCAGCCGAGCTATGAGCTGAATCTGTTCATTGTTCATTCCAGATTTCAGATTATACTTACTACCACTTAGTTACTCATCGACACTTAAAGCTGCTATAATCCTCCTCTTGTTAATTAGAATGTGAAAAGACTGTGAAAGGGGCAGCTCGTATTGATGAACTTAGAGAGAATTATCACCCGAATCTACAGCTCCCATCGGATTTACGGAGCTTTAAAGGGATTTTCAGCTCATTGTTTATCTGTCTGCGCCACAACTTTACTGTTCCCTCTTACCGCTTTCATAGCATCGCTTTCAGAGGAAAAGCAGTAAAAAGTCACTGTGCACTACCTGCTTAGCAGCAAACAGCAGTCAGACACAGTCAGAGACTATAGCTGGTGAACGTGGTGGAGCATCTAGCAGCTAAAGAGTCAGATATTACCCTAAGGGGTTGGTGGAGACCAAAAACGGAGCTAAAAGAGAGAGAATACTGGACTAACAAAAAAATCAGTAATTGCAGGTTTAAGTTCATGACAGAATGGAGTGCTTCAGGAATAAGTCCTAAAACCCTGAAAAGAGTCAGCAATTTCTGCACTTCCAGTTCCATGTATCAGATTTGATAGTTTTTTTTGAATGGTTTTATTGTTAGATGCCTGAAATAAGGTCTGTGGTTAACTCAAGCTTAAGAGATTTTAATATTTTCGTCAGTAAATACCCCTCTAGTGAATTTTTAAGCTTTTATGTGTCTTAAAAAAGGCGGTTGCTAACAAGTGGCTAAATGAGACCACAAAAACATCACGCTCATGCGACAGTGGTGTAGTTTGTTTACATCCCAACGTTAGCTTTTTACTTTTTTAATTCCGGGGTTGGCCAACAAAAATACGTCATCCCTGCAACACTATACCGTTTAAACGTAATGGCCACATTCCCATCAGCCTGAGCGTAAGGGCAACACATACCAGCTCCATTTACACCCCAAACAGCCACGGGACACATTTGTTAGAAAATTCAAAAGGCTCAAAAAATGCTCTAAATTCTAATCATCAGCCCCCCCCCCCCCACAAGCTGCACTTCAATGTCCCTCACTGGGGAGTCAAATGGCCGACTGTACTGAACAGAGTACGAGCTCTTTCCAATTCTCCATTTCATGCTATTTGATAAAACATAAATGCCTTCCAGACTCCACACAGAGCCCCACAGTGTTTTATAAAAAAGGAGTCTTACTCTCCAGGAAGTCCAGCTGACAGGCGCGGGCGTTGAGGCTCATGAAGTTGAAGCCTCGGGTGGGCCTGCAGCGGCCTCTCTTAGCCGCCGACTCCCCGGGAGTCAAACCCTGCAACATGCTGCTCTTCCCGGCCCCGTCCAGACCGAGGACCAGGACCTGGCGCTTCCCGCGCTCCTCCTCCTCCTGCGGGCAGAGCAAAGAGACCGTCACACTCCGGGAATGTTCAGTGATAGCGGAGCAGACGCAAAGAAAGATTAAACAGACATATTTAATTCAACACGGTACGGGGTTATTTACTCAGTTAAGAGGAGTGAGGGGTATGGAAGAATGGCTGGCTGGCCTCAGGGTTACAAATATGATTAATAGTGTAAATGCTTTGGTGCACATCAAACCACAGCTGAATCTTAACACAGCGCTATCGGCACACACAGAAACCAACAGGTGGCTTTGTGAAATGTAATACACCCACTGATTTATGGGCAAGCTCCACTGTCCTCCAACATTTTATAGATTCTGAAAAAGAATAATTTACAGATTGTTTGATGATGAAATTATTAAATAATTGTTGACGATTGTGTAGAACCAAATGCTTTCCCCAGCATCCAACTAACATTCATGAGTGACACGTCTGCAGACTGGTTTCATCATTATGTATCAAACTGAATGCATTGAACAGTTGGGAATTTGACCACCGGTGTGCAAACAACACTTCATAATGCTCAGGAATATGAATCCGTGTCTGCGGAACCTCTAGAGGTAAAAGTCGTGATATCATACTTTAGTAAAAGAGCGGCGTCGTGATAACACCTCTCTTTATTTCTGCATCTTTAGGACCGACGTGAGAGGCCGTGTTCTTTGAGATGACTGTATCTGTAGAAAGACAAGTGGCTGAATAAAAGCTCCACGCCGGCTTTGCACCTGAGACGACCACAATCCCTCTGAGATCCCGCACACGTCAGTCATCCCCCTTTATAAAAGTCACGCAAGGTTAGTCGTCATTCAGACGGATCTGTGGAGGATAATTAGCAATTCACATTGGCCCTTTTGGAGCTGGGATGCCTCAGTTTTAGCTTTCTTGTTCAAAATATTACACTTTAACTCCTCAGAATCAGCTCTTGACACATAAATCAACCCTGTAATTATATCAGATGAAGAATTCTAAGATGTTTTCGGAACTGAATTTCCTTTCATCTGACATGTTTGTGAGCGGTGCTGCTGGGTAAACACAGCATTAGATAACCACGGCTGCTTTGACAGATCTGTAGCTTGCCTCCGTGTTTTTCTCGCTCATGCACTCCGCTGGGAGACAAACCTGAAACCCTGACAGCTGCTAAAGCTTCTCCTCTTTCTTGCACCACTATCACGGACTTTGTGCAAAGTGGTCAATTTTCGTGCATATTTGCTTTGCATCCTTCTGTTCTTTTGATTGTATCACCAAGATTACACAGGAGACGTTTATCTAAAAGCTTTTGTCCGGACAAAACATTGCATGTTTTTATTTATTTTTACATTTCTTTGGTTAATAAAAGGATCAGACAATTCTAGTCAAGCCAGCGCACTAACCATTTATCTCCTGCTTCCTTTGTCAGTTCAAATACTTCAGCGACTCTTTCTTTTAGATTTGAACCTCAGTTCTGTTGCTTCAAACATTTCTCTTAAAAAAGCAGTGATACTGTATTGATTTCTATTGTTTTTCTGCTCCACGGGAGGGTAAAAAAAAAAAGCCATCCAGCTCAGCTGCAGGTCTGCACTGCTGGATCTGACAGGGATTGAATGTCTTGCTCAAGGACACTCCAGCGAAGCAGACGCTTTGTGACACGTTGGCTTCATCACAAGGAAGCACTAAAGCCTGCAGCACTGAATGGAAAACGTAGAGCTGTATTTTACAGGGAAGAGAGAGGAGTGATGGAAACTTTGATCCTGGCATATCATCATCAATGGAACCATTGTCTCTATTTTGTCTTGTTTGCTCTTCGTTAGTGAATTACTACATTACACCCTGAACGCCTCTCAACCAACCCCTTGAACTTGTTCCGTTCAGCAGTCGGCTGTTAAGCAGCATGAGCGATAGTGGCGGCATATAAGAGCCTTTTTCAGTTACAACCACATATTGTTGACTGAGTGATCAAACATACAATAAATCTGCTTATTTTCTTACTTCCAGCGAGTGAGATGAGATGATTGACATGAATCTTGTGTCTTAGCTTAGCTTAGTTTAGCGTAGCATAAAGACTTAATGCAGGTGAACACAGCTAGCCTGGGTCTGTCCAAAGTTCAACAACATACCTACTAACGCCTCTAAAACTCACAAATTACCCCGTTGAATCTTGTTTGTTTAATTTGTGCAAAAAAATAAAAAATACAAAAAAAATGATAATCTGTAGTTTTAGGGAGAGTTACTAGTAACAAACTGGACAAACACGATAGTACCAAACCAAGAAACCTCCCTGTGAAGACTTCAGTCAGTGCACCCGGCTGTTCAACAAGAAATAGTTCCAACACAAAACTCCCCCTAAAACCATTTTACATTTGTGTTCGTATTCGTATTAAAAGTTCCTGTGTATTTGGCGACATCTGTTGATGAAATTGTAGATTGCAACCAACTGAAACTTCTCCCGTGGGCCAAGCGTGTACGAGAACTAAGGTTGGCCCTCTCTAGAGCAGCGTTTGGTTTGTCCGTTCTGGGCTACCGTAGAAACATGGGGGCCGGCTCTATTCTGAGGCAACGGTTCTTATTTTCAGGTGATCATACACTAAAGAAACACTGGCCCTTTAACAGAAACGAGATACAACGATATGTTGATTAGTGCGCTTTAGTGGTGTTGGTGGTTGTATATGGTGGTAGGTGGACATAGTGATGTCATCAGGGTTATCACGGCTTGGATTGTAAATTCATAACAGAAAGTTTAAAAGACATGGGGCGTCTACCAGGCAGCAAGGGTCTGGCAAAAAAAGGCGCTGTCCTGTTGCATTATGGGAAGTGTAGCTGTGTTTCTGGAGCTTGACCAAAACCAGGCACTAAAAGTCAGGAGATCTCTGCCGTTGCTGCTTTGATTTTAATCCATTTTGATCCGTTGTCATTGATGCCAAATCATCTGCATTTTTGGCAAGAATCTGCATCAATAACAAAACCGCTCCTACAGTTCATCCAGCAGCTCGGATCTGTTTCTACTCTTTTGGAGATTGTTCTGTCGCCCTCCCACTTGCTGAAACTCCCCAAGGTCAAAAGAAAGAAAAAAAAAGAAACCCCGCGCTGTTAGTCAACTCCCCTGCTCTCCGAAGCTGAAGACGTGATTACAATGCATCTCGGTACAATGTGGCTCCTGGGATGAAAACATTTACCCCCCCCCCCCCTCCTCCTCCTCCTCCCCTCTGCAGCGAGCTGCTGGCAGAAACTGACAACATTATCCTCTAAATACAGACTGAGCCAGATAAAGCAGGCTTAAGCTTATTACAGGCCGCAGCTGATTGAATGGGAAACAAGATTCGAGACGAGCAAACAGATTGTCTTCAGATATTCAGGCTGCGGCTGAACTGCTCCATTGAAGAGTCCTTCATTAAGACTGTGTCTGTCTCTGACGGCCCTCATATCGGCCTCAGACACACCATGAGGAGCTGAAAGACACGTCTGGGCATTTTAAAGATTTCGGCAGCCATTGTATGTTTTCCCATCTTCATCACCTGCTTATCCCACATCATCCACCTGCCCTCGTCATCATCTTTTTGTCACCATCTTCACATTATGGATACCATCATCATCATCATCATCATTATCGCCGCTGTCACGTGACTTTTCCATGTCTTGATGTTCTCCTTGACTTGATCTTCATCAGCTTCTACTCACTCATTACATCAACCTCTTCATCATCATCATCATCATCTTCTTCTCATCGTCTTCTTCTTTTATAGTTTCAGCTCCATCACGAAATCTATCATCTGCATCGTCAGAATCATCTGTTATTTTATATATAGTAAGCGTCATCATCATCATCGTCACCACCACAACTGGCATCAAAAGCTCCTTCATCATCATCATCATCGTCACCACCACTTTCAACAAACATCTGTTGACCTTCATCGTCATTATTCCCAATATTTACTGTACATATTTCTGACCTGTACCATCATTATTGCCACATAATCAAAGCCATCATCTTCATCATCATCTTCTTCTTCACCATCATCATCATCATCAGCATACCATTGGCACTTCAGATATTCATGAGCAGCAGACTCTCATTCTTCTTCAGCATCCTCACCATTGTGATTGTTTTTAAATACCATCTTCATCATCATCATCATCATCCTTGCCACTGCCACTTATTCACCAAGCATCATTCCATCATCTTCATCATCACCACCATCTCAATTATGTATTCATCAGAATTCTGCAGCGTTGTATTTCATTCATTCAGTCAGTCAGTCAGATGTAATTTCAGTCTCTTCACCACCTTGACGTCCAAGTTAAATAGTTGAATAAACAATAGAATAACATACAATAAATAAAATCATAGGAAACGGTCCGCGTCACCTCTTTGATCGTGCAGTACTCGGCTTGCGGTGACCATATTCGCCTCTTGTAGAAGAAGTTCAAGGCGATGAAGAGAGCGGAGCCCAGGGCGGCCACGGCGGCGGTCAGGGCGATGGAGATGTGCCGGAGGAGAACCATATGTGGAGCGCACCGATCGGAGGGCTGGAGCCGGAGAACCTGGAGGAGAGGGGGTGGGGGGGAGTCTCTGCGTCCTGAAGACCCGGACCGTGTTGAGACCGACTGCCGCTTCCTCCTTCTCCTTGGACTCACTACATGTGACCGAGCTCTCTCTGCTTGTTTTTGTTTCGAGACGCGCAAGAGGAGAGGAGAGGAGGGAAATGCCGCGTTCAAGGGTGGCTTGTGAACTTCGCTTGTCCTCTTGACTCCACTGTTTTGTAACGTTCAGTTGCAACTTGCAAGAGACAGTGATACAAATAAAGATAAGGCAATGCAAAGGGTTTGGAGGTACTTGCTTTAAAGGTTAACAGAACAATGTTATTTTCCACCACGTTGCACCTGTAATCAGAATTTTAGAAATACATGGTCTTTGAGTCAGATCCCTCCAGCAGAAGCCTCACAAGTTATGAGTTCATGGACTAGCAGCCATCATAACCCTGCTAAATGTTCTCAGTATTTTTTAAATCCCTACATTTTTTTTATTGATTTTATTTCATTGTTCAATTATATTTTCTGTAGCCAATTTATTGTCAAAATATTGGTTCAAAGCCCTCTTCAAACATTTTATATTTCCTTTAAAATAATATCATTGTCAGCTTTGGAAAAAGCACACGTTGTGAAATCTGTGTTATTACAGAATGTATATAGTGTGCAATTATAATGATGCAGAGTTTGATTTCACCAGCTTCTATGTTCACCTTATAGCTCAGTTAAAAAATGTATGACATCACAACTATCTTGAGCCAATCATGGTCCAGTATGCAACTTACACAAGTGTGATGTGGACACTTGAAACACATACACTATTTTAATGAACTTGTCTTTGAAGTAGGAGACACCTTGTGTCCAGCAGCTGAACTTCTGGAGTGAACAATATTTGGTATATCCACAAACACTGAACTTTATTGTATTGATTTGATATCAAAGCAGAGTTTATGTGTCTTAAAACAGGTCTGAAGGGGATCTTCAATAAGTATACAAAAATATGCTTACATATATGGGTAGTAATATTTCACAACAATAGCATATACTCAGAATTTTAGTTCACCACTTTGTAGGCTCACCTGTGAGCCAATTGATAATAACAGTCAACCATCTAAGAAGCAGAACCACATATATACTTTGAATATGTACACAATAAATATTCTCAAGTAAACACATGTATAGGGTAATTAAATCCAAACGTTTTAATTATAAAACTAAATGTAAAATCTTGTGAAGGGGCCGGTTTTAATTTCCTCCAACCAGTAAAATATGTATTTTTTGCTATTCAAAGATGAGCAAGGCCACCATCAAGGAAAATAACTTTTAACTAGTGTGTCAGAAGGCCATCACAAAACGCCTCGTCTCTCTCCATCCATGAGAGGAGACAGAGGTGAAGTGCTCCATAGAGTCAGGTCAAGTTTAGTTTTATATATATATATTTATATATTTTTATTCTTGCTTTACAAACATCTGGCCTCTGACTCAGCACTCCACACAAAGAATCCTACAGGAAACTTTCTAAAATGTTGTGTTCTCATACAGCCTACTTCTTAACAAAATGATATTCTTCTACCTGGAACACACATCTGAAATAAACAGCGGTTGAGGAAGTATTGCATCTTAAAAATATTTCATTATGAGTAAAAATCCTGCATTGAAAATCAGAAATATGTACTCAATAAAACTGTCCCCTGTGACTGGTAAATCATTATTTAGGCTAGATTAGATTAATATTGATAATATGCGTCAATGTAAAAGCAGGATAGTTGGTTGATGTGGCTCTCATTTTGAACTATGAACTGATTATTTTCATTATGGATTCATCTGCTGATTACTTTCTCCATCAATCGATTGATTGTTTGGTTTTTTTAAAATTCTGAAAATAGTGAGAAATGATGTCACACATAAAGTGACACCCTCACAATGTTTGTTTTGTCCAACCAACAGTCCAAACCTCAGGCAAAAGTATTGCATTTAGAATTTAAGTAAAAGTATTTAAGTATTATCATCAAACTGTACATTAATTATGAAAAGTAACAGCAGTTTATGTGTGAGTAGCATTGTGATTGGTCGAGGTGGAGTAAACCTTTATATTGTCTTTACTGGCACAGTAGTTTAATCAACATATCAATGCAACATACATTTTTGCATGTAAAATAATTGTGTAAAATTAGTGGAGATAAGGAAAAGTATATTTTCGCTCTCAACGTTATTCTATAGAACTATAGCTACAGTAAACTACAAGCAGGTTTATCAATGAAAAAAAAAGTTTTTAAAAAGTCATAAATCGGTAAACAAAATAAATCAACTGGTAATTGAATGCAGTTCTCCATAAGTATCTATATGGTGTTCTGCTGTCAACCCTAGTCAGGGACAAAATAAAGACACATTTGAGGGGTGTCTTTTTACTTTTCAAATCCTTCAGACCTTCAAAACAAACGGTGTGTTTTATTATGCGTCAGGACACGAAGGTAGCCAGGAGTCATTCCTCCAGGTTTCATCATAGTCAGAGAGCAAAGGGACCTGAGGTGCAGCAACTGAAGTCAGCCTTCATCGCTCAGCAGCAAGAGGATCCATCCGGCAGTTCAACACGTTCTCCTCTAGAGGGCGCTGCGGACTTGAAAGTTTGTTAATACAGAAACCAAGATAACTAGAAAACACAGTATTTATAATAAGTAAGTACATATATATATATATATATAGATGCATCTAACAGAAAACAACCCTCACAACCATAAGAAAAACCACAAATAAATGCAATAAACAAATAGAATAATCAATAAAATAATTAAAAACTAAATAAAAGTGGACAAAACTGTGATAAGCTTAAACATGGTACAGTACAGACAATAAGAGAAGGATACATATAAATACTGATGTCAGTTTACACATAGACAGTAAACAAAGTCAATGATGCAGTAATACATGAGAAATAATATAAATGTAAATCACCTCTGGCCAAATCAATCACCCTATTTTAACCCTAATATTGTTTTGTTTTGTTTGGTTAAATCTGTGCACTATTGTTTAGTTAGTTAATTTAAATAGTATTCTATTTCATTGTATATATTGTGCATTTTTATATTTCATATTTTTATTATGTTATTTTTATTGTATATACTGTGGATTTTCCTTTTTCCCTTTTTATATTTAATATTTTTTACTGTTATATTATTTACCTGTACCATAAATGCTGCTGTAGCGAAATAATTTATCTATTAGTATCTTGTTAATACCAGCCACAATATAATCAAAGAGCCCATTTAAGTTACGTTGTGGGTTTAAAACCTTTTAAATATTCTGCATTAAACCAATTGTGACCGGAAGTGTTGTGTTGCTACCTGAATGTGTCAATTTAGGTTTTATTTTGAAATAATAACCGGAAGCTATGGTGAATGTGTGTGTTGACTTGATAGCGGTCGACCGGCTGAAGTCACCGGGACTGGGGAGAGACTTTTACCGCCGCTGAACGCCGCCGCTTCCCTCCCGTCCGGTTTTGCAAAACGGATACATTTCAACAACGTTTACATAGAAGTTTCTCGCGGATTTTTTTTACTGGAGTTTAAACGGCTGTCGGATCCGGTTGTATACTTTCTTCTTTCCCCGGCGGTCCTTCACACTGCTCGTTACCCCGCGGCTGTGCGGCTATCATCGGTTACTGCTGCACAACATGGTGGCCTGTCGGCGAGAAGAAGGAGCGAGTCCAGTTTGGGGATTTTAGAGGATTTTTTTAATGCCACTTTTTTTTGGACGGCTCTCACTGTGAAACCCACATTACTGCTCTCCCTTTTTAATTTATTTTTTTAAATCTTTATTCTCCCCCCGGATGTTTATGGACCATCGACCTGAGGCTGCTGCTCGAGACTCGAGCAGCACCGACCGTGTTCTGTGCACCGTGGATAACTATTGTTAGTCTACTTTAAAACAAATACAAATAATAATAATAAAGTTATCAGGCAGCCTCAAAAGTTTTGCAAAACAAAAAAGTTGCAACAACACGCGCTCACAACTGTAAAAAACACAAGTCAAATAGCAACATTGTGTTTATATTTCGGATGACTTGGTGCACGAGTGCAGCCTGCTGGAACTATCTCATCCTCTGAGTTTATTTTTATTTTTAACAGTTCCCTCTTTGAGGTTTGATTCCCTTGTTAATCTGTGGATTATTATGGATTATTATTATCATTATGGCCTAATCCAAACCGCGTCAGACCGGGATTTTTGGGAGTAGCTGCTGATACTGTTTGATGGTGGAGGTGATGATGATGACGACAGAGAACAGCGATGGTTTCCCTTCGTTATGCTTTTGAGTAGAGAGGAGCTCATTACATGGAGACTCGCCTGACATGCCAAGGAAGGAGTTGCCACTACCTGAGGGTTGGGAGGAAGCCAGAGACTTTGATGGCAAAGTCTACTACGTGGACCACGTTAACCAGTGCACGAGCTGGATCGACCCCAGAGACAGGTAGGAGCTCGTGCGTGTGCGCGTGTGTGTGTGTGTGAGAGAGAGAGAGAGAGAGAGAGATATGTTGTAGTAGGCTGCACGTGTCGCCCCTGCAAAATGCAGACTGTTCATGGCAGGTGACCCTTAACATGAATGCTTATCACAAATCAGCAAAAGCAAAGATGAATAAACGATGCATAAATATGCAACATTTTGGCCCCCAGTTCATCATCATAGCCCATCCATAGATTGTTTTTTTAACTATCAATATCAATCATAATCTCAACAAATTGAAAAATGCAAATATTTTTGAAAAGGGTTCATGAAAGATAGGATACTTTGTACATTGCAAGTTGATTATTTTAACCTACAAAAAAATAGACTGGTTTTACTGTTCACCTGAGGTCAGTCCTTCATTGCATTTCGCAGCAGGTCCATATATTAATATTAATTAATTAAATATTTAATTTAGCAGAGACAAGAACAAGGGGGGAGTTAAACACTGCTTAATGTTCAAAAGACTCAAAGAAGCAGAGAATATTTCCCTACAGGCTGTTATTGGACGTTACTCTGCTTAATATCTTAAAATAATACAAAAGGTTGCAGGTACCAGGAGTCCAAAACCCCAAAATATTCAGTTGACTAATATGGCCGCAAACCAGTCAATCATACGAGTTTGTCTCTGCCCAACCTGAGGGGGA